ACCATCGCATTTACTACCATCACCATCATCATCATCCGCCATTATATCATCATTATCATCGTCCTTGCCATATCATCACCTTTATCATAATGACATTCACCATCACCATCTATCCTATGATTTACTACTATCAATCCTTTTTTATGACGTTATTGCAAAAGCGGCATTGAGACTACGGTTACATAAGTCGCAAAAAAAAGGTTCCCTCACGTATTATTATTCCCTCAACCAGATTCTTCTACTCATCAACATTAGTTTAGTAAGAGGTGTTTCTGCGAACTGCGTGGTTCTAAGAATATTCAACTCATTATATGTAGCCCTGAAAATAAACAGAAAAARGCCTTGAAATAATATCAGGGCAGATTTAAAGACAAAATTCAAAGCGCTTAGACATAATAATGCTTCACTACAGCACACAATAGCACTGTGGCCAATCATATGGCACGCCCTATTTAGTCACTTTGTCATTTTCCAAGAAAAGTAATCAAGAAAGTTGTCCCCCCACCCCCATTCACAAATAACAACAATAATCTCAAAATTAGTTCAACGTTTCCAGGACAAATTAGCTGATTTGTGAGAAYGTGATTCGATTTTCAAGTTGCTTCTCTCCTGTGCTTCGAAGCCCGGAAACTCAAGTTTTTTCCCTCCGAAAAAATCAACTTCTAAATTCCATTTCGATCATGGAAAGAGGGTCACAAGCCTAGGTTTGTTAGCCACTAGCTATTAAGGGCTACCCCTTAATTTAAACTTTGAGCTCATTTTTCTGATATAGTCCTTTGTTTGGCCGGCTACCACTATGCTTTTCACCGTTAATAAACAGTTTATCCTAGTTCTATCTTAGCCTGTAAGGTTGCATTCTTGGATTCTTGGAGAAGTTTCATCTTCAAGAAGTAAAAAAGTTTTATTTATAAAAAAAAAAAAAAGCGGTTTCTTCTCAGCAGGAGTCCGCACCAAATTATCTATCTTCTTACATGTTTTAGGTTGGCTAAGAATGGACCTTTGAACTACTTTCATTATTCTAATACTGCCTTAAATAAACTAGTTCTGCAGATCACAAGTGGTATTTTATTCGAGAAATTCCCCTAAATCTACTAACGAAATATTGAAAACAGAATAGCATCATCAGCACAAATATAATAAGAGGCGCAGCTGTAGTTACAATTCTATAGTACGAATTTCTTGAAATCTAACCTGCTAAGACTTATAGTTAAAAACAAGAAACAGTCAAATAAAAATAAGTACGAATAACACGGAAGTCAAGCGTGAATAATCAACAAGCAGCCGTGAGCGAAAATAGTTGTGAGCGT